AGCTCTCCAATTCACTAGACTGGCTGATTAGCAAGTGCCCAGGATCCTCTTGTCTCATTTCTAGTACCTGCTTCATAGGCAAATAACTCCAAACCCAGATTTTTACATGGATTCGGAGGATCTGAACTCAGATCCTCATGTTTGCATGACAAGCCCTTTACTCATATCTACTACTACTACTATCTATCTACTGAGCTATCTCCACAGCCCTCTTTTTGACCAAAGGATGTCACAGGAAAGTACTGAGATACACATAGAAAATATTGTGAACAGAGAAAGCTCAGAGACCTCCAGGAGCCATGGAGCAGCAGCTAAGGATCACTGCTGTGTCCCTTAGGTGTGTGGGGGTGAGAGGTGACATTGACTTATCTAGTTCCAGGCTCCCTGGTTCCCATCCCAGGGCTTCAGAGGCCTGACAATTATCCCTACAGTATCATCACCTGGTCCCTAGGGTACAATGGTGATGCACAGGCAGAGTGGTCCAGGAAAAGCTCTGGTTCACAAAGAGGAAGCAGGGCTGCAGATAGACCACACAGGAAAAGAGTCTGACCCATACTCTCTCTGAGATCAATAAATCTCCCCTGACTGCCAGGCACTGTGGTATTGTGGCTTGCACGTCCTTTCTCTTAGGATGAGTATGAGGGGACCACCATTCCAAGGCTAATCTAATAATCACTTCCTGTTTGTACAACCTCAGGTGACTCCCCTGCCTGTCCCTGTGACCTCATTTTTCTAGCTACTGCTTGTGGGAGACCTGAGGCTCAGGCCTCACACTTAGATCTTGGCTTCATCACTCCTGGCAGGGTCCCACCCACACCAGGGTTCTCACCAATTCTCTGGTCCCAAATTCAATTTGAAAAGCTTGACTACCCACCATGTACCCAACTCGAATTGAGAGCTGATTGCGCATACCCTTAGCTTATTCAACTCTCAGACCAGGACAGTTCATGACCAGGACACCAGACCCCATTCCTAGATCAACCAGAACCCATGTAGTTCCCCAGGCAGGCCTCACCTTCCTTTTGCTAGACCCCAGAATCTCTCCAAGTCAGAAGGGGCCATTCAAAATAAAGAGCAGGCCTAGGCCCACTATGCTGGGTTCTCCTTTACCACCTTCCCCTCATGCAGGGCACTCACCACTCCAAACAAGTGCTGTTGTCCTCATCCCAAACTCACCCTCCGCAGGCTTCTGACAGGGTCTCAGCACACCGCAGTCTCCCTCTGCCCAGCACCCTGCACTGCACTCCAGCCCACCTGCCCCACTGCATAGCGACTGTTCCCAGGTTTACACTGTGGGCTCTCCACTCTGACCCCACCCTGTCCCGACCCCATCAAAGAGTACCTAGTGATTTTTTGGCCAAATGGCTAAGGGGAGAGATAAATGTGGCCAGAGAATGAGAGAACCATGCAAAGGGTAAAGATGTCCCCAAACCCCGACCCCGGGCACCTAATACCCTAAGAACAGGGACAGCTCTGAGCCCAGAGTGATGGCAGTGTCTAAAACCAGCCAACAACTTTGAGAGCAGTGCCACCAGCTGTCAGAGAAGGGGCTGCCGGGCAGACAACTCCCTGCTTCCGGCTGCGCTCCTTCAGGAAGGGTCTTCCTGCCATTCGAAGGTCTGTGGCCCGAACCTTTTGCTCATTTGCAGAAAAAATTATTGGGTACTTAGAATAGGGACTTACAGCTCAACACAGCAGACATTCTCGACCTTCATGCTCTCGGCGTTGGTTTCCTCAACCCCACAGCCTCTGTGCACCATGTCTCCAGGTGTGGTCATCAAGTCTCATGCCTTGTGGGACCTCCCTGCAGGTGACTCTCAAGCTTTGTCCTGTAGGGACTCTGGGCTCAGAGCTGTCCCTGTTCTTAGGGTATTGGGGGGAGGGGTCTGAGAGGAGTGAAGGGAGAGGAATCTGTGGTTGTGATGCAATATATGAGAGAAAAATTTAAAGGGGGGGAGAGGAAGGAAGGGATTCAGTGATGGGGGAACTGGGAGCCGTGCTGATTGGTGTAAATGGACTCCTCTGTTAACACGTCCTACACCCCTCCTGGCTATGTAACCAGGCTGCTTAGCTTCCTCTGGTTAACTGGGAGATATCTAAGATACCCCCTGATGCTACACTATGTCCAGCAAAAGGCTTTCTCAGAATAGTCTTTTATCTATTTGAGATTTGTACCTATCTGGGATTTGAGATTCATGCTACCCACAGGGGCAGAAGTGAAAACAGAACAGAGGTAGAAGGTGATGGGTGCTAGACTCAGACTAGGTCTTGGAATTACCAAGCCTTGAAGTCTAAGGGTCTCAACACCCAAGGGTTAGGAACTGTAATGCTACCTTGCATTACCTGCTGCTACCACTGCTTCAAAGTTGAGTTTCACCAATTGTTGCATGTTGACAAGGCAGTAAAAAGCCAGAACAAGATTCCTCTAACCCAGCCGGGCAGTGGTGGTGCATGCCTTTAATCCCAGCACTTGGGAGGCAGAGGCAGGCGGATCTCTGTAAGTTTGAGACCAGCCTGGTCTACAAGAGCTAGTTCCAGGACAGGCTCCAAAACCACAGAGAAACCCTGTCTCGGAAAAAAAAAAAAAAAAAAAAAAGATTCCTAACCCGAGCAGCTGGAGCTGTCAGTCGCTGGCTTCTAAGGTCAGGACCCATGCACCTCTAGTTCCCAGGGCTTTGGGATACAAGCTTGAGTCTATCAGTCCATCAGGTTTCTGTACTCATGAGCCAAGGGTTCCTAATGCTAGACCTACTCACCTACAGATTTCCATGGAATAAAATGATGCCAGCTAGCTGCCAAGGGCCCATGATTAAACAGGAGCCACCTATCCCTGAGTTTCTCTCCTAAATGACCTGACATCTCAGCCAAGGCTGACACAACAGGACACAGATACTCAGTGTCACACAGGTCCTGACCCATTTGCCCAGGGTGACTGACCCACACCACATGAAGGACAAAGCTATATATAGATAGCATCATCATGGGACGGTGCTGTCTGGAGTTGATATTTCTTTATAAGGCAAGGCTGATAAACCCAGAAAACAGATGTGACATGCAGGTTATGAGTCTAAAGTCAATGTTCAATAGGACCTCAGCAGAGACCTTTCCAGCACCCGCACCTCCCCTTGTTCTAGCATGAATTATGTGAATGAGATTATTGTGTAAGTCTTTTCTGGTCAATTTATGTCTGGGTTTGTCTTCTGGTACCAGGTACATCATCAATCTTGCCTTATTATTTTATGGCCTTGTTAAATGTCACACCAAAACACAAGTTTTTTTGTTTTCGTTTCTCTTTTTTGGCTGAGACAGGGTTTCTCCGTGTAACATCCCCGACTACTCAAGAACTTGTCTGTAGAGCAGCCTGGCCTAAAACTCAGGAACCTGCCTGCCTCTGCCTCCCCAGCACTGGGACTAGTAGCGTGCTCCGCAGCTCACCTAGCTTCAAGGCCGAGCTACTACTCAGGCTTGCATCATTCTTGGCTCTCACAGCATCGTGGGTGTTTCTGTTTCCTGTAGTTAACAGCTGGCTACTGCCAGGTCTTCTGTGCATGTAGCACTGATTCTCTGGGAGAGGCCCAGAAGTGGTCCCTCTGATCCAATGAGAGTAGCGTCCCAGCACCCACTTCCGGCCAGCCCTTAGCAAAAGCCTCCTCCCCATTCAACTGGTTGCCATGATGACTTCCTCAATTCCTGTCTTACACTCAGCTGCCTTTTTTTTTTTCTTTTTAAGATTTATTTTCTATGTACATTGGGGTTTAGTCTACATGTCTGTCTGTGTGAGAATGTTGGATCCCCTGGACTTGGAGACACAGCTGTGAGCTGCCATGTGTATGCTGGGAATTGAACCCGGGTCCTTTGGAAGAGCAGCCAGTGCTCTTAACCACTTAATCTCTTCAGTCTCCAGCTGTCTTGATATCCTGTTGCTCATCTCTATACCAAACATTTACAAGTGTAGTTGACACTCCCAGCCCAAACTGCCTCTCCCACCAACCGCCCCAACCAAGATGGAGTCCTGTTTCACACCAGATAAACAAGTGTTTCACCACTGATCTGCATCCTATTATGTGGTCTTTAACGAGCAGTTCTTAGCTTTGATAAGAGCTGAAACCACCAAAGTTCCCCTCACAGTCAGCAGGTTTTGGTGTCAGGAAACCACCCCGGTATTCCCCATGGCCTCAAGCAGGGAGTGCTTGTTTTTGCATATTAGGTTCCCTTAGGTGGGAACCCAAGAAACAGACAGCATGTCCTCACTGGTCTCAGAACAGGGCCCCACTGTCCACCTGCTGGCCAGAGCTTTAGTCCTTGTGCCAGGCATTAGATTCTCCTGACCTTGATCAGGTTGGGGTGTTAGAGACAATAAGATCACTCTTCCCAAAGTCAGGGGGCCCATAAGGCCTCATCTGTCAGGCTGCAGGTGGACCCTGGAGTGCCATGTGTCATCAATGGTGCGAGCTCACCCTAGGACCTCAGGGCCCACCAAGACGGTTGTATTTGGTTTTATTCTTACTTGGCTGTGTGGGAGCGCAAGACAAAGAACAGTGAGACCACAAATGTGCATTATTTTGAGCCCTTATGTGTGGAAAAGCTGATACTGAGGTCCTTGCCAAGTGACAAGTCCTGACAACCTGACCAAGGATGGGGCCCATGGTTGAGCTTTTGACATGCTCTTTTGTTTGTTTTTCGAGGCAGGGTTTCTCAGTGTAAGTCCTAGCTGCCCTTGTATGTAGACTAGGCTGGCCTTGAACTCACAGAGATCCACCTGCCTCTGCCTCTGAGTTCTGGGATTAAAGGTGTGCACCACCACCGCTTGGCCAACATGCTTTCTTTCACATGGCCCACAGACCCGAGACCCAGGGAAGACAAAGCAGACACGATGTGGGATTCTACCTGGAACTGATTAACTCCACAGAGCAAATGGAGAAGTGACAGCTAGTAGTACTGGATCTGCATTTTGGGTTTTTATTGGTTTTCTTTTTTTTTCGAGACAGGGCTTCTCTGTGTAATTAGTCCTGGCTGCCCTGGAACTCACTCTGTAGACCACGCTGGCCTCAAACTCACTGAGATTCGCCTGTCTTTACCTCCCGAGTGCTGGGATTAACAACTGTCCAGCTGCATTTAGATTTTTTTTAAAGATTTTTTTATTTATTATGTATATAACATTCCTTCCATGTATGCTAGCATGTCAGAAGAGGGCACCAGATCTCATTACAGATGGCTGTGAGCCACCATGTGGTTGCTGGGAATTGAACTCAGGACCTCTGGTAGAGCAGTCAGTGCTCTTAACCTCTGAGCTATCTCTCCAGCCCCTGAATTTAGATTTTTTAAGGTCAAGCTCCAAAGGGCTACTGGAAGTCCTAGAGCAGGGCAGTTTTCAGAGGCAGGGAGCATAACTGAACTTGTTTATAGCTCATGTCACCATCACAAGGAGCCAAGTTCCCATGTGTCCTGGACCAGAGCTGGAACCCACAGGTGGAAGCAGCAAGAGCTAAGCAAGTGTTAGCAGGGGCAGGGGCTGCAGGCCAGGAGGGACAGCAGAGGCTCAGCAACAGGCAGGAGGTTCCAGAGACTCCAGGAGCTATGTCATGAAAGTTAGGACCTGTTAGACACTGGTCCTCCAGAAACATGCTAGGAACAGTCACTGGAACAAACAGCATGGTGCCCTGCCTCAGGGCCAGAGGCCACCTGTATCAGAACTGTCACCCTAGGCATGAGCTGTCACTCTTACAATACGACACAAGCAAGCAGGAAAACCCCATGAGAAAATGTTCTAGCAGAGGGTCCAGGGTGCCCAGAGTTGGATAGTGGCCTCAGGCCTGAGTTAGCAGGAGGCTAGAGGTGGCCTAGTGGGACCTACCACCTGCCCAGTGTCTGGTCAGTGTTTGGAGCTAGGGCTAGGAAAGAAGGCAGGGTTAGAAACCATGGGACCCGCTTGGGCCCACCGGCTAGAAGCCTGGGCTAGGAGAGAGCCATCCCACCAGGCTGTGGGCACATCCTGGACACAGGCTGCTTTGTGAGACCTGAGCTTGCCCAGTGCCCAGCAGCCTTCAGAACAAAGGCCTTCTCTGTCTCACTGCAGCTTCCCTCCTCTTCTCTCCCCGGCAGAGCCCCAGGGCTCCCATCCAGCTCCCCACACACAGCAGGCACATCCACGGCCCAGCACAGGAGGAGGCTCTCCTGCAGGAGGTGTACAACTAGAGTCGGAGAAACCAGAGCTGCTCCACTTGGGGGAGACCCGGGGCTTCCTGCACTGTGCAGATTCCAGCACGGGGCCAACCATGCCCCATGCATAGCACAGTATCAGAAGAGGAGGAAATTAAAGGGCAGTGGCAGAGGGCAACAACCTGGTGTCCCCAGAGACAGCTCTACCATGTATATATAGGTCCCCTCCAAACTGCTCTGGAGGACCAGCCCATGGTGACCATAAAACTGTAGGCAACAGGGCCTGGACCTCTGCTCCAATGCCAGCCCCAGTCTGCTCCTCTGAGACCCTACAAAGACCTCTACACAGGTGGGCACACCTTGGGGCCTTCAGTGTCCAGGAGCCATAATCCAAATCAAGCCAGGCAGAGCACCAGCCAGCCTGGCCAGCTCCTGCTGACATTGACTCTGTAGCTGATGCAGCACCTTTTTCAGACCGGCCTCCTGGGTGCTCAGGGTCCTGATCATCTCAGCTGCCTGTAGGCCTTGAGGTCCTGGTGACTGATCCTTACTTCTCACCAGCCGATGGGGTCTCTGGGGCTGGGTAGGGTCACTGGATGGCTCCCAGGATACCTGCAGGGCAATCAACTCCTGTTTGACAGCCTCCTGCAAGGCTCTCCTTGTGGTGCTCCACTCTGGCCCCTGACCTAGGCCTCCAACCTGCATGAGAGAAGACACACAGGCCTGAGCCAAGGGCAGCTCTGTTCCCAGGAGAACGGGTCCAGGTGCACCCAAAAACCCTGCAGCTCCAGAGCTGCAAAGCAAGGCATTAGTCCATGCATCATCCCACCATACAAAGCCAAGCCACCCATGACCCGTACAAAAGGCCTGGCTAGCCCAAAAATCTTTTACCCTCACAAAGCACCTGAATGATGTGGGAGTGTCATATATCAATCTGTTGATTTCATTGGTTAAGTTATAATAAACCAGCTGCTTGGCCTCATGGCTTGGAACATAGATGGGAGGAGTAAACAGAATAGAATTCTGGGCGGAAGAGGAAGTGAGGTCAGACTCTGCTCTGCTCCCGGAGACTCAACAGCTCTGCTCTCTGGAGCAGAGACACCATGATGGACGGAGGCTAGAATCTTCCCGGTAAGCGCACCTTGGGGTGCTTACACACATCATTAGAAATGGGCTAGTCCAGGTGCGAGAATTAGCCTGTAAGGGTTAGAGTTCATGGGCCAAGCAGTTCTTAAATGAATACAGTTTGTGTGTTGTTATTTCGGGCATGAGCTAGCCAAGCGGCCGGGGTGTTGGGGACGCAGCCCCACCGCTTCCTATTTCAACACCTGAAGCCCATGCCAGCAGCAGCTGGGACACAGGGACCCAAAACTCAGAGAATCAAGATCCTTAACCTCCAGGGCTCCTCACTCAGGACAGCTGACTGTAGGACAGCTGGGCAGTTTCTAGCCTACCATGTCCCTCAAGGGTCTTCGGAACACAAGGAAGACTCCTGGGGACACCTGCTACTCCAGGATTTGGGGCAGCATCCCCCACCACCCTCTCCTTCCTACTGCTATCTAGGAGGGGAATACCTGAGTGGGACTGACCCAGGGGGTATAGGGCACTACCTCTAATCCCTCAGGGCAATCCCTAGCCAAAGACCCTGTGGGCAGCAGGTCTATGTGAAGGTCACACTGATGAGGCCACTAACCCACTCCAAAGACCCCAGAGAGTCACCTTGAGTCCTGGGTGCTCTGCTGAATGGGCTCTGCCCTCACAGTTCTAAATATATGTAAAATTCAGAATAAAATCTACTACCACTCCTGGGGTATTAGCTGCTGTGAGGAAGAGACCTCTGGCCCAACCACAGGCTCATGGTCTGCAGCATGCCAGCCTCACTAGGGTGGAGAGTTGGAGGAAAAACAGTGGTTGCTCCCGATCTTCAAGGAGACTATGGAAGAGCTTAAGGGGAGCCTGCCTGCAGCTGACATTAAAAGGAGAACTGATGGATGCAGCAGTGAGCGGCATACGCTACCAGGAACTGCTGGGGAGGGGCAGAGTGGCCGACCAACCGGCGATGCGCATGGACAGGCAATTCTGCACAGGCTGCCTACCTCTGTGGGAGTCCCCGGAGAAAATCTCAAGGTGACAGTGAAGGGTAGTGGGGTTTCGTCCCTGCAACCCCTGCTTTTGGAACTTGCTGTCCAAGTGTGTCACCGTCAAACTTAATCCAAGTAAGTAGGGTAATTCATCCAGAGACTTTGTCGAATGGTTAACCAAGACCTCCCACTAAAAGAGCCAGTCCAGACAGAAAAAAAGGAGGCAGAGCTGGAGCGTAGGTTGGGAAGAGTGGGCAAAGTAGCTGCCTAGGAGCTCACCTGGGCTTCCCATGCCGCCCTCCGGGGCTCAGCCACCTCCCGTAGCTCCTCCTGCAGGGCCTGCAACTCTTGTTTTACCAACTCCAGCTCACCAAGCCCACGTTCAGAAATCATGGGCAGAACTGTGGGCTGTGAGGTCACAGCAGGAGTCTCCGACAAGCAGGCATCCAGAACTGTATCCTGCAGAGACCCCAGTGAGACGGTCAGGGACAAACACAGGTTTCATGTGGGGACAGAGGATGCAGAGGTTGATGGAGCAGAGCATTCCCAGATCGCACTGCAGACAGGGCAGCTTCTGACTCCCTGGCTACTTCTCTGGCATTCAGGGAAGCACAAAAACCAGACCTCTGGGAGAACCAGAGGCAAGGACCAGCAATATGAGGCTTCCACTGAGTACAGCCGATATCCTGAGCAGAAGCATCCCTTAGAACCCTGGTCTCCATCTTCAAGGAGGGATGATCTTCCAAACTCTACTATCAATGAGCCTGGGACTCCTGGCCAGCGCCAGGAAGGGTTGGGACAGCAGGGAAGACGTCCTCACCATCCACTGCCAGAAGACCAGCTCACACTGCCGCCACTCCAGAGCTGCCCCCAGGCGTACGTTCTCACTCTCCAGCGCCTGCAGAAGCTAGAGAAGAAGACACAGACTGCTGGGCCAGACCGCTCCCTGACCATCTCCCGAGCCAAGCTCTAGTCCAGGGGCCTTTGACCAGAATGCTCTGCCCAACATTCCACCGACTAGAGGCTGTCCCAAAAGGCTGCATAGATGGGAAGACCTAAGACCGGGGAGCCTGCTGGGCCATGTATCTTTGGGAACAAACCCCCAAGGTAAGGAAGAGTTGATAGGTGATGGGGATTTGTGCATAGGGCAGGGGCATGGGACAGAGTTGAGGCATGCATAAGAGGGAAGGGCAGGGTCAGGTCAGAAGATAACCACTGCCCACCCTCAGCAGAGCAAAGCCTGCTTGCTAGTCCTGCACTAACAGCTGTGCCTCAGAAACAGTTCAATCTTGGGCTCGAGAAGAGGATAAGAAGGGAGCTGGACCTGGAAGAAGGGGTCACCCAGCCCAAGTTCCAGCTCGGCTGCAATACATGCCCAATGCCAATAGGCAGCTAACCACTCGGGAGGTCTACAGTCCAGCCGCTAAGTGGTGACCAATGCTGGACCTCTCCCGTGAACCTCAGAGATAAGCTGACCAAAAGGAAGAAGCCAGTGATGATGGACAGGGCCCTAGAAAGACAGGCAGGAAGGTGGGGGAGGGAGGGCAAGTGGAAAGAACTGGATATCCTGGGAGAAGCTGGGGATGGGGCCAACACTGACACTCTTCCCACCTCAGACAGAAGGCACTGTCTGCCTAAGGCCACGTTATCACTGGGTCTCATTCATGGCCTGCCATCCTCCAGGTCTGTGCTAAGATTTAGGTCCATCAAGACCATCAGGAGGGGCCCACTGCCTAGGGCAGCCTTGGTTGGGAAGAATCAAATGGCCCCTGGCAACAAGACAGGACTGAGGCCTACAAATCAACGCTTGTGCACAGATCTACGCCAGTAGACTTCCCCAGAGACTCTAAGAGTCTAGGCTCTGAAGAGCAGCTCTCCCCACTCACTCGGCCTTTAAACACCTCCAGATACATCAGTCAGGCAGAGCTAGCCGCCCATTTCAGACCAAGATCAGTGTTCCTCCAAGCCAGCCGTCCCCTCCTGGACACCACATCCCTCCAACCTGGACCTTGCCTGGCCAAATAACAGGCATACACAACACCTAGTCTTCCTTCCTGGACAGGTGTGCAATCAACGGGACAGGGAGAATCCTAAGGGACACACTGACCACCCACCATAGCAAATGACAGTGACTTTGGCAAAGACCCAGAGACACAGACGTCAAAGCCTAACACCAACCCAGGTATTCCCCAGTAGACCACACCCTATCAAGGGCAGCAGCCACTCTGGCACCCTACCAACTCTCACCTGCTGACTGCTCTCTGGGTCTCTGAGCATCTCTGTTTCAGCAACAGAAAGATGGTCAAGGTTCCGCTGGCTGTGACATCCACGGGTGTACAGGTGGATCTGCAACAAGCAATGTACCCAGGCTGGGGAGCCACTCCCCAACAAGAGCTCCCTTAGCTGGATACAGACACCTTCGAGACCACTCATAGCCAGAAGGACAGAGCTGGGCTCAGGGCAGCTCCGTAATGCTGGGGGTGGAGGCTGCAGAGGAGGGGCACTGGACAATTTCATTGAGGGCTTCCACCCCTTGCTCACCAGGACAGAGGTAAGGCAGGGTCATGCTCTACTTGTAAAGGGGAGACCTAACCTATAGGCTAGAGCTGGGGGAAGTCCAGCAGTCTAGTGAGCCAACAGTGATGACAGAGCTGGACCACAGGGAAAGGTAGCCTGGGGCACAGGGCAAATGGGCCCAGTGTGAGGAGCCATAGGGCTGGACTACCTTGCTGAGCAGGGTACACTGTTCCTGCTGACTGGAGATCAGGCGGCGCCACCTAAACCGCAGCTTTCCCATCAGCCATTCCACTAGTCGGAGATCCACCGGACTCTCTGTTTCCACACGGGGTGCAAGAGGACCAGGGATGGCCAGGGCCTCACACTAGAGAGGGAACAAGAGTCAGCCTTGCTATACACCCCATCTCGTGCTAAAGGAAGGACCAGGAGGAGGAGGTGCGCTATGAGCTCTAGTCTCAGCTGGGAAGCTGGATGAGGACCGCACCAAGGGTACCATATGACTTGGGACCACAGAGAAATCCAGGGTTTCTGGCCAAAGTTCGGCTCAAACACCCTCACTACATACTCACCTCACACTGGGGCAGCTGATCATCCAACCGCACACGGGTCTGGGCAAGCAGCTGCTCAAGGAAGGGTTCTCGTGCCAGAAGCCAAGACAGGGCCAGCAGCAGTTCCCGACTTCTCTGAGAATTGCCCTCAGGAAACTGTACCAGCGCAGACCTGGGGTAGCCCTGGGAGTCCAGTGCTGACTTCACCACACGGGCTTGAGCCTCTGGAGTAGGAAATCACCAGTTTAGGGGGTGCCAACCTGGAGGTGTCACCTGGGTCCTTCTGGGAAACTGGGAGTGAGCTGATTGGACAAAGGAGGCCCAGGGGGAAGGATTTCTGTGAATGGCTGGCTCAGGGTCTAGTCAGTCTCAGAGCCACTGCTAATCAGGTGAGCGAGGGAAAAGGTCGTAGAAAGCGAGGCTTAAGGAAGTGGGCGGGGCAGTGCTGGCAGAGAGAGGGGAAGGGACAGGTGTCTGCAGAAAGGGGGCGTTGAAGTTGAATACAGAAGGGTAGACAAAAGAGGAGCTTTAAAGGTGCGGGACTTACCGAGCTGAGCTGAGCGAGGTCGACCGAATTAGGGGAGTGGAAATAAGGGCCCTTGGGCGTGGCTTTCTGAGAGGGCAGGGCTTACCTGGAGCAAGGTTGGTCAAGGTATCTTTAGCAGCAAGCGGTGAGAGCACGCGTAAGAGAAGCTGCCAGAGCACTGGAGCCTGCAGCGAAGGAGTTTGTAGACAGCGGGTGTCAAGTCTCACCAACGTCGGCCCAGGACAACGCCTTCCCCGACCCCGGCCGCCTACCCTGATAGCCTCACCGCCTCTGGACGGTCAAACTTCGCGCGGCGGAAGATTTCAGGGCTGGGCCCAGCGGGCAGGGACCGACTCAACGCAGCGATAACTTCAGGAAGGGCCCTGGCCGCCCCTTCCACCCGGTGCCTCCGCCGCCCCATGCAGCCAGCACCAGGCAGCCTCGGATCGCCCGCCCCGGCAAGCCGGACCCAACGACCAATCAGGGCTCGGGCTGGGACCCGCCCTCTGCGCCCAGGCCCAATGAGCGGTGACCGGCGTTTGAATGCCTACCAGTCTGTCCCTTAGGCAGGCACTTCCGGGGTCTGGGCGGGGCCGCGGGTTTGCCAGCTCTGCGGACTTTGGAACGCACCAATCAGCACCTCTGGTTCCCAACCTCCAGGCGGCTCCCGCGCAGGTAGCGCGCGGCCGGAGGGTGCGCATGCGCCCGAGTGTCCCCTGGAGGCGCGGGGAAAGAACGGCTCCACCCAAACACGGAGGGAGTGTCTCTGCGGAGCCGCCCTGGAGCTCGCCGCCAGGGGGCGCCAGGGACCCGCGAGGAGGAGCCGAGCCCGGCAAACCGGGTGGGGAGTTCCGGGGGCCACGTCGCCAGGAATCTCTTGAGAAAGCCGTCCTCCCTCTCCTGTACTATCCCAGACCTCCTTGTCCCCATTTTCATCCTTCCTCCAGCCACTAGAAGCCTAGTTTTTGAGGAAAATTCTCCACTTTAGAAAAGGGTGCGGCCATCTCCTTTAGTGTTGAACTTAGTTTCGCGCACTACAGTGTCAATCCTGGTAAGCCGTGAGAACCCTGCGAGGAAACGTGTAGAAGTACACAGCAGCTACATGACAACGGCAGAATGAACCCAGACTCCAACCTGATGAGCGGGTTAAGACGCCGCACCACAAGCAGACAGCAATTATGCTCAGCAATGGGCATGAGGCTGGTACGTGGCCACAGCCTTTACCAGAACACTCTCTGTGGGAAGCCGGGGACGAAAGACCACTTCAAATGTTCCAGTGCGTGCGGAGGAGGGCCGGACAAAGGCCAGACGCGGCCTACGGGGATCCGGGGATCTGCAGGCGACGGAAGACCGGGCGAATTGTGGGGGCGGGGCCTGTACGCTTGAGCGGGCACAAGCTAAGCTTTGTGTGCTCGATGTCACCAGAAATAGCTGGGACTGTGCACAGTACTGTGTGCGCTCTCCATCTCAATAAAGCCGGGAAAGAGGGAGAGGGTGTGATGTGTAAGACGAAACTGAGGTGAGAGGGAAGGGCAACGGACCCTAGGCACCTGCCACCTTAACCGCAGCTACAGAATGGCCACGCCCTCCGGAAGTGCGGGACTGTCGGCCCACCTCGATCTCAACCTTCTGTGTGCTCCTGCTCCGCACTTTACCCCTCCCCGCCCCCTCATATGACTTCTTGCTGCAGACTTTCCTCTGCTCATCTGGTGCCTTGGGCCATTCTGCCTCAGGTGTCCTTCCTGGGCCCTTGCCGAGCAGCTAGGGCTGCTGGTGCCAGATAGCCAAGCCCAGCTAGACCCTACTTGCTCCTACCGCCCTGGGTCTAGGACCCTGCTTCTGCACAGGCTTGTGCATACCGTCACACTTCACAGCGCCCTGAAACCTTAAGCTCAAAGATCTTGGCTACTGTGCCAAGGAACTCCTGATACACCCCTAAGGAGCCCTTTGTCTCTCGAGGCCTCTTTGCAATACTATGCTCTTGCCCCACCTGACCTGCTCGTTCCTACAGGCCTCAGGTTGCTGGGAATTCACTCCAAGTCTGCCCGCATTGGGAGACATGGAACTGAGTGCAGGGGGCTGGGGTTATGAGGAAGGCAGGGTCCTCGAAGGTGGGAGAAAACAGGGGAAACGGAGCTTCTGCCCTTCACCCATGCCTTTTCCAGGTCCTCTGCAGACGTTGGACACCCAAGACCTGGAGGTCTGTCCCAACGCCCATACCCCTCCCAGCTGGAAACTCTTAAGATTTCAGGTTTAGCCGGGGCCATGGTGGCACATGCCTTTAATCCAAGCACTCAGGAGGCAGAGGCAGGCAATCTCAAGACCAACCTGGTCTACAGAGGGAGTTCCAGGACTGGCTCCATAGCTACTGAGAAACCCTGTCTCAAAAAAAAAAAAAAAAAACTCAGGTTGACCTATTCTGCTCATACTGTTATAACCTAAAGCACTATGATGTCTACCCATTGGGATTCCAGAATCACCCAGTAAAACACACACACACACACACACACACACACACACACACACACACACGGCCACTTACAGGACTCACCAACAGCCTATCAGGCTCATTCTTTGTGGCCTTGTTAAGTCCAAAAGAGTCTTGAAAGGCCAGTGGCATGGGGGAAGGGGAAGCTGAGAGTTGCCGGGCTCTACATAAGTTTCCAGAAAACTCTTCCTACTGCCACAGAGCCGGCCCTGGCCCTCAAATCCCGTTAGAGCACCGAGTCACCCAGAGCGTTCCTGGGCAGGGGGAAGCGCAGATGTGGATGTGGTATCTGTTGAGCAGCTGCAGAACATCCACAAGGGTGCACTTCTGGGGACAGGGTGGGGTTACAGGAAGTGGAAATGGAATAGGCAAGAAGTCCGCACAACTCCCACGAAAGAATCTCAGAAAGGGAACCATATCAGCTCCCACTGATTCACCCTCTGAACTGTGGCCAGCCCCACCCACTCCCAGGCTCCATGTTCCTGCTGACCCTGTTGGCCAGGGCCTCACCACAGGCCAGAACCACTAAGGAACTTTATGGATTCTGAAGTCCTGCCCCGAAGTGGCACTCCCCCAGAGGGTAGTGGGCAGCAATGTCTACAACAGCAGGAAAAATCAGTATCCTGCATTAGGCCTAAGGCTCCCTGCAGCTTCCCTCCAGCACACACTGGTAGACAAACACACGGATCTTCCAAAAGATCAGGTTTATTAAGGGCATGTAGGGCTACTGAGAGCCCCCGCTGTCCAAGGTTAAGGCCTGGCATGTGCCTGGGCGGGTAGGGAGGGTTTCCACAACCTGTAAGGAGAGACAGAGACAAACGTGAGTGCATGTCCAAGTTTTGTTACTCCACCAGGGCTGACCTCATCCTGTAGACAGGCGGACCGGGTGGGATTGGAGATGGGGCTGTACCTGGATCTACTTGAAAGTGTGGCTCTCGGCTCCACCTCTCCCAAAGCCTGAAAACAAAACAAAAAAACAGAAAATGAGATCAATAGGTTGGGGAAGGGGGTCAGTTGAGGTGAGAGGCCTGTTAGGGAAGAGGCCCACAACATACCTTTGGGCCCAAACATGGCTGAGTAGCAGGGGTGGTTGCAGTAGGGCTTGCCTTCATGCTCGGCATGGCTCCCAGAGGTCAGTGTCTTTCCACATTTCTCACACTTCAGGCAGGGGCGATGCCAGTCCTTGCCTAGTGATGTCACTCGCTCAGCTGCAAGAGCACAAACCCACTGAGACCCTGGGGTGCCTGCATATCCCTTCAGCTGCACAACACATACATGCTTCATTCTCTCAGTGTGGTAGGTACCCCACCCTGGGTCCTCAGACTGCCCTGAGCTCCATAGAGAGACACCTCCTATAGCACAAGCCAGAAGGGTCCTCCTACGGGAGGGATATTTTCTTTTCCTCTCTCTCTCTGTCTCTCTCTCTCTCTCTCTCTCTCTCTCTCTCTCTCTCTCTCTCTCTCTCTCTCTCTCTCTCTCTCTGTCCAGTATTTTGAGACAGGGTTTCTCTGTGTAACAGCCCTGGCTATCCTGGAACTTGCTTTGTAGACCAGGCTAGTCTTGAATTCACAGAGCTCTTCCTTGCCTTTGCCTCCCAAGTGCTGGGACCAAAGGTGTGGGCCACAGCCCCTCAGTTCATTGGTGGGACATTTTCAAGCGCTACCACAGGGATGTGACCCCCTGAGGGCTTTTAGGGCTGGAGCGGAGCCCTACAGACTTGAGGGACAAGGCGGGATGGATTTGGGGAGCAGGTCTAGAGAGTCTAAGGCTAGGTCGCGAATGGGTTAAGTCTTCTGACCTCTGCGCTGGTGGCTGGATAAATGAACCTGGGCGCGCCCTTCTCTACAACAGGGACAAGGGGAGTTGACTTAAACACCCTCTTGTGGGAGCCCTGGGGCGCGCGAAGAGCAAGAAAACTAGCACCCCAGAGATTGCACTCCCGGACGTGGTTTTCCGTGTCTGTTTCTACTTAGGGTTGGGAGGGGCCGCCCAGTCCCGCGTTCCTTCCTTTCCCGCGGGGACCCCGCCCAGGACACGCAGAGAGAAGACGGGACAGACCAGTGGGATCCAGAGGCGAGGATCACAGAGAAGGGGAGACCTAAAAGCATTGGAGTCATGGAGATCTGGAGACCCAGAGTCAAGGAGGCTAGAAAACCGACCCAAAAGCATAAGAAAAGTGGGCATAGATATCGGTTCCGTTTGATACCAAGTTGTCCCACCCTCACGCCGCAGACAAGGTTCATGGGTTCGATCCAAGGCGATTCCCCGAACTCTAGGCGCCCACCTGCACAACCCCAGAACTATCCGCCTCCAGGCTACGCTTCCGCGTACTGCCTGCAGTGCGCCCGCGGGCATGTAGAGAAAGGCTGGGACACCCAAGCATGCTCACCGAAATACACCTCCTTGTCGCACTTGGGACACTTCGGCATGGCGGAGCTGAGTCCTACACAAGTGGCTGCAACTAGAAGGAAGTAGGTAGTAAGCTCTGGACTGGGTGGCGTCCGCCTGGTCCGCGCTTTTCAGGGACCCCACGGCCCTGCCCTTTAAGGCCCCGCCCCCGCCCCGCCCCCTGAGTCCGGGACTTGGACCCCTGGGATCGCTAATCCTAATCAACTGGCCAAGAATGGTCATCTGGTCCATGCTCGCCTCTGGCAGGACAAACTGGCCAAGTGCCATGCAGGGGCGCCGAGTCTTCTGGGGACCCTCTGAGGAGCCAGGCAGCTCCCGCGGGCCCACGCCCCGCCCCCTGCCTGGGGCAGGGCGAGTGTGCAGCGCTGAGCAGGGAACCTTAGGTCCTTCCCTCAAATGATGAAGCGCCCTATCAGGACCACCTTGAGCCTTGCACCTGCGAGAGCTTGCAGGAGCCCCGTCGGGCACAGGAAACTTCTGAAGTTCAGATAAAGCCTGGTGAGGTGCGATTGTCCTTTCCTACTAGGACTGGTGAGACCAATCTGGTCTCTAGAGTGTGACCCTGTTTTAAAACACACGCACAAGGTCGGGCGATGGTGGCGCACGCCTTTAATCCCAGCACTCGGGAGGCAGAGGCAGGCGGATCTCTGTGAGTTCGAGACCAGCCTGGTCTACAGAGCTAGTTCCAGGACAGGCTCCAAAGCCACAAAGAAACCCTGTCTTGAAAAAAAAAAAAAAAAAAAAAAAAAGACCACAAAAATAAATAAAAGTAAAATAAAATGCAAACAGATGCAAATTATCATTCAAGGGTTCTGCACCTATTTTGAACCTGCCGTCTCCCAGAAAGAAAGTTGAGGGCATTGGGCATTGAGAGTGTCTCGGCCTTGTAGCCCAGCCCCTCCCAGACTTTCTCAGATCTAACCCATGCAGACACCAGGAGGTCCACCTGGTTATAGACAAGTAAATAGCCTGACCTTTGCCAGGCAACTGGACTGCGGC